GATGGCTTGCCAGGCTACAGTCCCACTCACCATTCTCCTTCTTCAGACTTGCTGCAGACAGAGAGGAAGGGGGAGACACCTTACTTAGCACCCCAGCATCGACAAAGGCTCTGGGAACAGGATGGGAAGCCCTTCATTGCAAATGCCTGAGGGCGAGCAGAAATACTCACCATACTTGGCACAGAGCCCCTCTGCCCAGTCCAAGAAGTCACCAAAAAAGGAAGAATCCAAGTCAGGTCCAGACCCACAAAGGTCCCAGGGTGCTGCCTGTTAGAGCTGCCCACCCCAGCCATGTACAACAAAGGCCTCTGGCAGGGAATTGGCTCAAGTCCATTCACACCCCTCCTCACAAACCTCTCATTCTGAATGGGATCACAAGTCACCTGCTCCAACCATCACTTCCCCCTGGCACACAGGACTCATCCGGGCCCACGCTCTCCATCCTGCCACCCCATCTCTGCTTTCTCTGAGCAGTCCTTTTTACACCCTCATCTCCTCCAAAGTCTCCACCAAACTCATTACAACCTCCAACAGAAACGCACATCCTAACAGCCTGCTGAGCAGTTGCAGGGGTAGCCAGCAGAGAGACAGTTCCACTCACCAATCTTCTTCTTCAGGGTCTCTGCAAGAAGAAAGGAGGAATGAAAGAGTACCTTGCTTAGCACCCCATCTTCAGAAAGACTTGGGAAGAAGTGTGGGAAGCCTTCGACAAGGCACACCGACACTACACCAACATTACATTATGCTGTAATTCCTCATGCACAGAGGCATTGTCGCACTGTCCTTCCTGTACATACCTTTCTCTGCATCTTCCTCTGCTCTTCTTTGTGCCAGCAGTTGCTCTGAAAAAGAGATCACTCTTATCTGCTCCAAAGTCTCCACCAAACTCATTACAACATCCAACAGAATCACACATCCCAACAGCCTGCTGAGCAGTTGCAGGGTTTGGCAGGAGTGAGACAGCTCTACTCACCAATCTTCTTCAGGGTCTCTGCAAGAAGAAAAGAGGAAAGGATGGAAATGTTGCTCAGCACTACATCGTCCAGAAAGACTTGGGAAGAAGTATGGGAATCCCTTAACAAAGCACACTCACAATGAAGGTGTAGACCTTCATTATTCAAGAGAACACTCATGCACAGTGCCACTGGGGCACTATCCTGCATGCACTCACCTTTCTGTGCATCCTCCCCTGCTCTTCTTTGTGCATGGAGCTCCACTAAAAAAGGGACACAGATATTGGTGAGAGTAATGACACCTTTCTTAGCAACCCATTCCCTAGAACTTTAGGGAAAAGGATGGGATGCCTTCAGCATGGCACGCTCATCCTCCACCAACCCCTTACTTAGTCAGGGTTTTCCCATGCAGGGTGGCTTTGAGGTAACACCTACATCACATCTCAATTGCCCTTTCTTTCCGGTTCAGACCAAGACTTAAACCTCACAGTCCCCTATTTGCTCTGTCATGGCATATACTGTACCTTGGGCTGCTTGCTCTCAATGTCCAGTGCTTAAAATCTTGACACAGGAAAAATGCCACTGAGAAAGAAGTCCAGTCAATATTTGAGTCCTAATATCATAAGCACATCCTCCCATCTAAACCAAATGCACAATAGGGCACAGAAGAGACCTGAGGCCATGGAGAGAACAAACCTTTGCACATTCCTCATTCTAATATGGAACTCACTCCATGGCCATTCTTCATTATTACACCATCAACACACACACTGATTTTTCTCTCGCTGTGTGCTAAAAAGAAAATGCATGAAAAATAGCACCTCAGTGGTTCCTTACTTCTCAGGGAATGGTAGTCAATTTCCCTGAAGTTTTTTCCATAGTGGTTCCACCTCACCTGTTAGATCTGCATTTATTAGTGTGTATTCTGGCCAGTTTGTGAACTGTGGTCTCCTGCCACAAATTTCTACAGACCCTGACAAATGTGTACTGTAGCAGGAGAACAGCCTTGCCTCAGAGATGAGGACAGCCATTCTGAGCTCTCACTTCAGTCCACCAAATGAACATATGTCCTACATACTCATTGTAAACCAATCCACTCACTCTACTGCATTCTTCCTTCTGTGGTCTGTGATATCTGACACTCATAAGGACCTTTCCTAACAAAGGACTGGACATTTTCTAGAGGAAGGGAAAGTCTGTGTGCAGCTGTATACCTGCCTTCCTTATATTACTTTGGATCTTCCTCCCTCAATGAGGTCTTCTGGGACAGTGGTTAGAAGGGAAGTAGCAAAAGCTTTTCCCAGCGCCATGGTTGCAGAACTATTATAGATCGCTTCTCAGGAAGGTCCGTCTTAAAAGCAAACTCCTTAAAACTTCAATATGCATCAACCCTGCAATTTGCCAGAAACTGAGATATATATCCCAACTAAATGCTATCAAGTCGTCTCACATCTGAATGTGAAATACACATCTGTATTTAAAAGACAAAATAAAATAAAATAAAATAAATCAAGAAAACTCAGTTGTGTCAATGAATGGATGCCAGAGGATCATTTGGAAAATCTGTAGTACAAATGCTAAAAATGGAACTACACTGTTACCGTAGTGACAGAACCTAAAAACATGGAATGTTATGGCCCCAAAGAAGTCAGATTTGCATTCTTTTTTTTTTTTTTTCTTTTCCACATTTACACAAAATGATGCAGATATTGCTTCATATAAAATGCCCCAGAGGCTTTCTTAGTGTTCTTCAGCATCATTGGCATTCTCAACAAGCAGAAATCATATTCTCTCTTCTGCTGCACACAGGAGACAATTTTTACTTCTCTCCAGGTAATAGTAAGCTTGTCAAACTATATAATTTCAATTTCAGTTAAAATATTTGCACATGAAAATTGGTTTTGGTGAACTCTAGAACTCTACACATTAGGAAGGAAAAATGAGAGTGTGAAAAGATACCCAATTCGTAACATCTGAGCAGACAGATGCCCAGTTAATAAGGAATGTTTCTGTAGTTCATTACTAAGCCAGAAAAGAATAAATAGAAAGGAAATAAAATAAATAAAAGGAAAGATGAGACAATGAAAACGGTATTTCATTTGAGAAAACCAACTTCAGAATGTCTGGGTGCTAGAAACACAAAGGACTGGAGAGGCAAAGGACAACATTGTTCTGTGAAGGTGAGGGAAGATGTTGATTTTGGAAGATGGAAAGCTATGGGGTGCATCTGGAAGGCGGAAGCCACTCCTGAGTGAATTCATTAACAAAAAGATTCTCTTGAAGGAATCCAGAGCTGTGAGTTTCTTGGAAAGAATGAGTTATCTCCAACACAGGATGTCTGTGCCACTTGGGAGGACAATAGAAGGTCGGAAATTCTGGGTGAGAAGGCTATCAAAATTTCTCTGCTACGAACTGTAAACTGGGGGCTCTGGCATGGTGGAATAGCTTACCTATTGCAATAATGAAGCAAAAGAGATAAAGAATCCAGAGCCAGTCATGGTTTCCTAAGAAAGGGAGAAAAAGCAATTAAAAAAAAAAAAAAAGATAAACAATTTATTGCAATGTAATACAGGTGTAGAGTGGCAGTGGAAGTCATCTAATCTGTGCCATCTGGACATGGCTAACAGAAGAACATTTTTAAAAATAATTACTCATCTGGGAGAGTGATGAGGACCACAAAATATTTTAAAGAAAGCTTAGACATAGCACTGAAGTTTTTGTATTATACCACTTCTTAAACACCCTGGAGATAAACGAGGAAGGAAATATCTGGGAATTTTTAAATTAATGCTGATTTTGCAATCATGTCTCCACTGTTATTCAAGAGCCTGCCTGTTTAGCAGACTATTTCTGAATCGAGTAATATTGCTGTAAGTGATACCATAAAATTGCTCTATCTTAAGTTGAATTTCAAAGCTATGACTGAGTAGAACTAACAGAAGATGGCCTGAGCGGTCCTTTCCAATATTAATGATTTCATGCTTCTATGATTCTGAAGGAGCTCAGCCCTAGCCTTGCTGCTCAATATCATCTTTCGGTCAGAATAATTCTTAAAGAGCTTAATACAAAAGATCTGTCAGCATTGAGAAGTAGATATTCACGGTGGGAAACAGGATAGATGCACTCAGCTGAGGAACCCACTGTCTTCCTGGCTTTCCTGGCATCCCTTGGTGCTCTTCCCTTTGCAAACAGAAGTTGGATAGTTCCATACCGTATCTATAGAGCTACTGATTTTCTCAGATTATTGAGCAATAGTTGTCTGAATTGAGCCAACTGTTGAGTGTTGTTGGAAACAGGGTGAAATAATTCACAGCATTAGGCCCATCCTTCTTATTAGGGTAGGATAATGTGAGAAGAGGGCACTTTTCTCCAACATAAAAGGTTTAAGTACAAGAAATAAATCTTAATTGCTGCATACCTGACTGCTGAACAACATGTAAATAGGATTCCCCATTAGTTGTCAAGTCAGAAGGTGCTAGATGTCCACCATATATCTCATCAGAGCTTTCTATTGCAAAAATATTGTACTTCTCCTCTAGGATGCTTGTCTTGATCAATGAAGATAGATGTTCTCCTGGGGAAATACCAAAATAGCCTTGGGATTTACACAGACACCTCTCATTTGGCTCTTGTACATACAAGTACGTACAGTGCTTGGCTTTTGCCTAATTATTTCATTCAAAGAACCTGTAACAAAGGCAACTGATCACTCTTGCATTGGGCATAACGCAGAAATAACGAGTACAACAAGAAAGAGATTTCACAGAGCACCCACAGCTTTGTTGCTGCTTCATCTGCCATGAAACACATCTGGCCTTTGAGCATTTAATTTTAAAAATTTCAGAAGCAACAGGAAGAATTTTTATTTTTTCACTTGCAAATGTGTAACTTCCTGCCTGAACCAAGACGGATTTTCACAAAAAGCTTTTCAATATAATCAGCACAGATAATAGAAATTATTGGCTAGACATTAGGAAAGCTGTATTTGTCACCGTTCTCCATGACTGAGGTGGCATTTACAGTAAAAAAGAAGATTCCCTTGGAATCACACTATCTTTTCCAGTTTCCTGAGTGCAGGAACCCTGCACACACAAAAAAAAACACACATATTCACACTGTTAAAAACGAGTGAAATCTCTGAAACGCTTAATTTGTGGGTGGCATCCCTGCCCACATCAAAGTTGTTAGGAATACAAGGTCTTTAAGGTCCCTTCCAACCCAAAATGATTCTAGGAACCTACCAGTTCGGTTTATCTTTTCTTTGATGAGCATAATGACACATTTCACATCTACGTCATCACAAGGAACTGCCACGATGCTTTGTACTACAAAAAGATCTGTCTCACTCCAGGTGATGCTGGTGTTGATCTCCATATGTTTTTTGCCTCCTCCATAGGTTGTCCAAATGACTTGAGGCTTTGGGTACCATCCTTTTGAATTACATGTGTAGCGACACAAGCTCTCCTCTTGCTGATCCTTTACCAAAGCTGGTTTGTTCCCTATTGCTGTAATGGAGTTATTGAAATGAGGGACAGAAAAAATACTCTGCATAACTCCTAAGTAAGTTATATAAAAGCAAACAGAAAAAAAAAAAAAAGAAACAAATAAATCTGAAAGTGTCAATACACTGCTCTAAATATTCATGGCACATAGGAACTACCATACATGGCCAGACAAAAGGGTCATTTAGAATCTTACAAGGAAAAGCACCATTGGGAGACACCACACATGGTGAACCACAGGGAAGTGGAATGGTGAGAAGTCAGGAAGACTATATGAAAATTTGAGAAAACAGGGGAGTCTCCATATTACTGAGAGGGGATGTAATACAGACCAATTAAAAAGGAACAGTGGGGAAAGAAAGAATAATAAGGAATTGTTCTCTGTGTTGTCCAGTAAAAAAAAATAGCAGGTGGCATATTCATAAATAAAAGTAAATGAATGAATGAATA